TTCTCGATTCAACTTTTTCCTAGATTTTTTTATTTTCAATTTCTTGATGTGACTTTTTTATTTTTCGGTTCTTCGATTTTTGATGTTTCGATTTTTCGATATTTCAATTTATTGATTTATGGATTTCTTGATTTTCAGATTTTTTGCGTTTTCGATTCGACTTTTTTCTCGATTTCTCAATTTTTTTATTTTTCGAGGTTGCGATGTTTCGATTTTTCCACTTATTGTTTCTCGATTTGTCAATTTTTCAGTTTTCAATTTTCCGACTTTCCAATTCTTTGATGTTTCGACTTCTTGATTTATCGGTTTTTCGACTTTTCAGTTTCCTACTTTGTCTCTCGATTTTTCAACTTTTCAATTTTCCTCCTTTGTTTCTCGATTTTTCAACTTTTCAATAATTTTTAAATTCTGGTTTTTCGATTTTATGATTTCACAATTTTCCGATTTTCGACTTTAGACTTCTTAATTTATCGATTTTTCGACTTTTCGACTCGATTTTTTTCTCGATTTTTCAGTTTTCAATTTATTGATTTGATTTTTCGATTTTTAGATTTTTGACTTTTCGTTTCTCAATTTTTTATTTTTCGAAGTTGCGATGTTTCGATTTTTCGATTTTTTGTTTCTCGATTTTTCAATTTTTCAGGTTTACAATTTTCAGACTTTCCGCTTCTTTGATATTTTAACTTTGCGGTTTTTCAATTTCTCGATTTTTTGATTTATCGATTTCTGTTTTTCTACTTTTCATTTATTAAATCCTGATTTTTCGATTATTAGATTTTTGTTTCCCGATTCTTCAATTTTTAGTTTTTCGATTTTCGACTTTCAGGTTCTTTGATTTTTTGACTTTTCAATTTTCGATATTTTTGATTTCTCCGTTGTTCGACTTTTCGACTTCTTGTTATATGGGTTTTTCGTCTTTTCAATTTTCCGACTTTGTGGATTTTTCAACTTTTCAATTCTTGAATTCTGATTTTTCGATTTATCGATTTTTCGATTCGACTTTTTTCTCGATTTTTCAATTTTCAATTTCATGATGTGATTTTTCGATTTCACAATTTTCCGATTTTCGACTTTTCAACTTTCGATTTCTTGATTTATCGATTTTTCAGCTTTTCGGTTGACTTTTTTCTCAATTTTTCAATTTACAATTTTTTGATTCGTTATTTTTCGATTTTTAGATTTTTGAGATTTTTTTATTCTCAATTTTTTTTTATTTTTCGAGGTTGCGATGTTTCGAATTTTCGACTTTTTGTTTCCCGATTTTTCAATTTTTCAGTTTTTCAATTTTCCGACTTACCATATTTTTCGATATTGCAACTTTCCGATTTTTTGATTTATCAATTTCTCGATTTTTCTACGTCTCAAATCTTGAATCTTGATTTTTTTGATTTTTAGAATTTTCGACATTTTCAATTTTTCAACTTTTCGTTACCCGATTTTTCAGTTTATTGGTTTTTCGACTTTTTGGTTTTCACTTTTCGATTTCTCGATTTCTAGATTTTTCAATTTCTCAATTTTCGAATTTGCCGATTTTTTGACTTCTCGATTTATCGATTTTTCGATTATTCCAGTTTTCGTTTCTTGATTTTTCGATTTTACGACTTTTCGATGTCTCCATTTTTCATTTTTTTTTCGAATTTTCGGTTTTTGCCTTTCCGATTTTTCGACTTTTTTTTACTTTTCAATATCTCGGATTTCTGAATTTTTTGTTTTTTCGATTCTTTAATTTATCAGTATTTCACAATTCGATTTTTCTATATTTCAATTTTTCAGTTTTTCAATTTTCCGACTCTCCGATTCTTTGATATTTCGACTTTTCAATTTAGTATCTATATTTTTGATTGATCGCTTTCTTCGTTTTTCGACTTTTCGACTTCTTGATTTATCGATTTTTCGACTTTTCAATTTTCCGACTTTGTTTCTCGATTCTTCAACTTTTGGATTTTTGGATTTTTTATTTATGGATTTCCTGATTTTTAGATTTTTCTCCTTTTCGATTTTTCAATTTTCAATTTCTTGATTTGTGATTTTTCGATTTCACAATTTTCCGATTTTCGACCTTTCGAGTTTAGACTTCTTAATTTATCGATTTTTCGACTTTTTCGATTCGATTTTTTTCTCGATTTTTCAATTTTTTATTTGATTTTTCAATTTTTCGGGTTGTCAATTTTCAGATTTTCAGCTTCTTTAATATTTCAACTTTGCGATTTTTCAGTTTCCCGATTTTTTGATTTATCGATTTCTGTTTTTCTACTTTTCATTTACTGAATCCTGATTTTTCGATTATTAGATTTTTCGACATTTCGTTTGGAAGTTTCGATTAAGATTTTTGTTTCCCGATTCTTCAATTTTTTAGTTTTTCGATTTTTCGACTTTTTGGTTCTTTGATTTTTTGACTTTTCAATTTTTCGATATTTTTGATTGATCGATTTCTCAGTTGTTCGACTTTTTGACTTCTTGATATATTGGTTTTTCGACTTTTCAATTTTCCGAATTTTTCAACTTTTCAATTCTTGTATTCTGATTTTTCGATTTATCGATTTTTCGATTCGACTTTTTTCTCGATTTTCCAATTTTCAAGTTCTTGATGTGATTTTTCGATTTCATAATTTTCCGATTTTCGACTTTTCTACTTTAGATTTCTTGATTAATCGATTTTTCAATTTACAATTTTTTGATTTGCTATTTTTCGATTTTTAGATTTTTGACATTTCGTTTCTCAATTTTTTTTAATTTTCGAGGTTGCGCTGTGTCGATTTTTCGACTTTTTGTTTCCCGATTTTTCAATTTTTCAGTTTTTCAATTTTCCGACTTACTTCAATATTGCAACTTTCCGATTTTTCGACTTCTCGATTTATCCACTTTTCAATTTTTCGATTATTCCACTTTTCGTTTCTCGATTTTTCGATTTTACGACTATTCGATTTCTCGCTTTTTCAGGTTTTTTCGAATTTTCGGTTTTTGACTTTCCGATTTTTCGACTTTTTTCACTTTTGAATATCTCGATTTCTGGATTTTTCGTTTTTTCGATTCTTTAACCTAACTCTGAGTTTTTCGATTTCTCGCCTTATAGATTTTTCGATTTTTGACTTTTCGATTTTCAGCTTTTCTTTCTGGATTTTTCAATTTATTGATTTTTCGACTTTTTGGTTGAGACTTTTCGATTTCCGATTTCTAGATTTTTCTATTTTCAAATTTTCGACTTTTCAACTTCTCAATTTCTCAATTTGCCGATATTTCGACTTCTCGTCTTCTCGATTTATCGATTTTTCGACTTTTTTATTTTCCAACTTTTTCTTTCTTTTCTTCTATCGAGAATCGAGAAATTTTTCGATTTTTCAATTTCTCGATTTTTTTATATATCTCGATTTTTCGATTATGTATGTATCAAATTTTCAATTGTATGACTCTGATTTTTCGAGATTTCGTTCCCCGATTTTTCAGTTTTTCGATTTATCGATTTCTCGATTTTTCAATTTTTCGAATTTTGGAATTTTTGATTCATAGATTTCTTGATTTACCGATTTTTCGACTTCTCTATTCGACTTTTTCCTAGATTTTTCAATTTTTTGATTTGTGATTTTTCGATTTTTAGATTTTTGACATTTCGTTTCTCAATTTTTTATTTTTCGAGGTTGCGATGTTTCGATTTTTCCACTTTTTGTTTCTCGATTTGTCGATTTTGATTTATGGATTTCTTGATTTTTAGATTTTTTGTTTTCACAATTTTACGGTTTTCGACTTTTCGAGTTCGTGATTAATCGATTTTTCGACTTTCAACTTCTTGATTTATTTTTCTCGGTTTTTTTGATTTGTGATTTGTGGATTTTTAGATTTTTGACATTTCATTTGTCAATTTTTTTATTTTTCGAGGTTGCGATGTTTCGTTTTTCGACTTTTTGTCTCTCGATTTTTCAGTTTTTCAGTTCTTCCTTCGATTTTCCGAATTTCCGATTCTTTGATATTTCGACTTTTCGGTTTTTTATTTTTTCGACTTTTTGATTCATCGATTTTTAAATTTTTGCACTTTTCGACATTTCGTTCCTCGATTTTTCAATTTATAAATTTTTCGATGTTTCGAGGTTTCGATTAAGATTTTTGTTTCCCTATTTTAAAATCTTTTAATTTTTTAATTTTTCAACTTTCTGGTTCTTCAATTTTTCGATATTTTGATTGATCGATTTGTCAATTTTTCCGCTTTTCAACTTTTCGAATTCTCAGTTTTTCTATTTCTCAATTTTCCAATTTGCCCATTTTTCGATTTTTAGATTTTCAAATTCTACGATTCTTCGATATTTCAATTTTTTTGATTTACGGATTTCTTAATTTTTAAATTTTTCGTCTTTTCGATTTTAGGATTTCACAATTTTCCGATTTTCGACTTTCGACTTCTCGATTTATCGATTTTTCGGCTTTCCGATGCGGCTTTTTTCTCGATTTTTTGATTTGTGATTTTTTGATTTTTAGATTTTCGACATTTCATTTATAATTTTTTTTATTTTTCGAGGTTGCGATCTTTCGTTTTTCAACTTTTTGTTTTTCGATTTTTCAGTTTTTCAGTTCTTCCTTCGATTTTCCGAATTTCCGATTCTTTGATATTTCGACTTTTCGGTTTTTTATTTTTTCGACTTTTTGATTCATCGATTTTTCAATTCTTGGACTTTTCGACATTTCGTTCCTCGATTTTTCAATTTCTAAATTTTTCGATGTTTCGTGATTTCGATTAAGGTTTTTGTTTCCCTATTTTAAAATCTTTTAATTTTTTAATTTTTCGACTTTCTGGTTCTTCAATTTTTCGATTTTTTGATTGATCGATTTGTCAATTTGTCCGCTTTTCAACTTTTCGAATTCTCAGTTTTTCTATTTCTCAATTTTCCAATTTGCCGATTTTCCGACTTCTCGATTTATCGATTTTTCAATTCTTCCATTATTCGACTTTTCGTTTCTCGATTTTTCAAAACAAAAATCAAAATTTGAAACAAAATTAAAACCGCAAACTCAAAATATAAAAACAGAAATCACGAAAGAGAAACCAGATTGTAAAACCGAAAAAATGGAAACTCAGAAAATTGCAAAAAACGAAAAAATAAAAAAAAATCGTTACGACACCTGTCAAGTGACAACCAAAAAATCCCCACTAGGGTTTTTCACGCCGCCAAAACTGACACAACTCTACATAACCTCCAAAACCAGTTGACAGCTGTAAATGTTTCCCAACCAAGCGAAAACATCGCAGAGCAGATTAAGCTTCAACCCTGCACAAACCAACCCCAATTCAGCCTCTTCAACAATGACGTCGACGTCCGCAGGCCCGGTAAGCCCTAATTCACCCCACAATCACCCTTCACTAAACACCCCTTCCAGACGTCCAACAACGCGCAAGAATACACCATCAAAGTCCCGAAAAACATCCAAAAACGGTACCACGTGATGCGCTTCAACGGCACTCTCGACGTAGACTTCGCCAAATGGACCCAAGTGAAAATGGAACGCGAAAACAACATGAAAGAGTACAAAGGAATCGATGAAGAACAACCCAAGTAAGCCCACAAAACAAAGTTTTCGTTTTATTTCGCTGTCTAGATTTGGCGCAGGTTCTGAGTTCGGTCGCGAAGCGAAAGAGGAAGCGCGGCGGAAGAAATTGGGGATCATTGCGAGGAAATACCGGCCTGAGGACCAACCCTGGATACTGAAATCGTACGGGAGCACTGTTAAAAAATTCAAGGGGATTCGAGAAGGAGGGGTGTCGGAGAATACGGCGTATTATGTGTTTACGCACGCTGCGGATGGGGCTATTGAGGCGTTTCCTCTACACGAATGGTAACATAATTAATTTAGAAAAATTGAAATAGGGCGAAAATTGGTGACTTTTAGGTACAAATTTCAACCTATTCAGCGATATAAAGCCTTGACGGCCGAAGAAGCTGAACAAGAATTCAGCAAACGCAACAAACATCTGAATTATTTTTCGTTGATGTTGAGGAAACGTCTGAAGGGGGAGGAAGATAACGAGATCGACGAGGGAGAGGAGAAGAGCAAGAAGAACTCAAAAAAGTCAAAGGATTTGAAAATTTCTGACATGGATGAGTGGATGGATAGTTCAGATGATGACGGGTCAGACAACGACGAGAAAGAAGAAGCGGAAGAAGAGAAACAAGAAAAGAAGAAGAAAGCTAAAAAAAGTAAATCAATGTACATAGTTAGGTGGCAATTTTTCTTGTTTGTTTTGTAGCTGACATGAAGAAGAAGAAGAAGAAGCGTGAGACTGATGGAGAAGCGTTTGAAGATTCAGATGACGGAGACGGAGAAGGAAGAGAATTAGATTACATTAGCGACAGTACGGACAGTGAACCAGAAAACACGAATCTAGAAAGTGTAGCCGAAGAAAAGGCGTTGAGAAAATTGTTAACGTCGGATGAAGACTCAGAGAACGACTCGGACAAATCCGATAAAGAACAAAGCAACGAAGATGAAGAAAATAAGGAAAAGGAGGGTGAAAAAACCGAGGAGAACGAAGACAAAGACAAAAAGAAGAAAAATAAGAAAAAGTCGAAGAAGGACGTGAAGAAAGAAGTGAAGAAAGAGAAGAACGAGTCCAATAGTGACTTCAGCTCTGATAGTAGTAGCGACGAGGAAGTAAAAAAGAAGAAAAACGACAAGAAAATTAAGAAGGAGGAAAAGGAGGCTAATAGTGCGAATAGTTCGAGATCTGCGACACCTACCGACAACAAGAGGAAGTTAATTAATGACGTCATGGCTGGACCGTCTTCGAAGAAAGCGAAATTGGACTTACCTAACTATATTGTGGGATCAAAGTAAGACAATTTTTTAGTAAAATTTGTGTTTTATGAATTGTTTTTTTAGCGAATCTGGCATTACGGAGGACGCCGTTAGGAAATATTTAATGCGCAAACCGATGACGACTACAGAGTTGCTCCAAAAGTTCAAGTCGAAGAAAACGGGGCTTTCCAGCGAACAACTTGTTAATATAATGACGCAGATTTTGAAGAAGATTAATCCTGTGAAGCAGACTCTGAAAGGGAAGATGTATCTGTCTATTAAATCTTGATTTTGTGTAATTTATTTAATTTTATTATTATTATTGATGGTGTAATATATTTAAGATTTATTAATTATGGAATTATGTATATTATGTAATGTTGGGTATCACTGAATTAAATAATTGTATAAAAAAAGTGTACTTTTTTCGTACCATTTACTTCCATTTGGTTGATTGTGGGTTAAAAGGTCTAAGAGTAAGGGGTCAAGAGATTATGAGGTCAAAAGGTTAAAGGTCATGAGGTCATTGGGTAACAAAGTCACTGAGTCGGCAAGTGAAAGACATCCAGAAAAAAATACAATTTTTGATTTGTCAATTTTTATTACGATTATTCAAATTTTATATTTTACTTTTTTCAATTTTTGTTGATTTTTTCAATTCTTTAATTTTTCGATTTGCAATTTTTGGTTTTTTCTACTTTTGATTTTAAATACTTTCGATTTTTTAATTTCTCAAATTCTGAGTTATGTACAATTACATATTTGAATTGTTCGTTTTTTCGGTTACTCGATTTTCGAATTTTACTTTTTACAATTTTTGGATTTGCATTTTTCGACTTCTCGACTTCTTTTTTTTGGTTTCTCTATTTTTCGATTTCTCGATTTTTAATGTTTCAATTTTTCAATGTTTCAAATTTAGAAATATGTTGTCGGTTTTCCAAATTCTTCGATTTGTCAACTTTTCGTTTCTTCTATTTTTTGAAAAGTTACTATTGTTTCAGTTTTTTAATTTTATTTGAAATTTTTCGACTTTCGATTTTTCAAAATTTCGATTTATTGTTTTCTCGATTTTCCGTTTAATCGATTTTTCGACTTTTCGGTTTTTCAGTTTTTCGATTTTTCGGCGTTTGACTTCTCTGTTTTTCGAATTTTCAATTTTTAGATTCTTTATCAACTCCATTTTTCGATATTTCGAGGTTCAGATTTCTCGATTTTTCGATTTTTTTATTTCTCAATTTTTAAATTTTTCAATTTTTCAAATTCTCAGGTTTTTCGTTTCTTTCATTTTTCAGTTACTCGATTTTCGAATTTTAATTTTTCAATTTTTGGATTTGCATTTTTCGACTTCTCGACTTCTTTTTTTTGGTTTCTTTATTTTTCGATTTCTCGATTTTTAATTTTTCAATTTTTCAATGTTTCAACTTTAGAAATATGTATCCGGTTTTCCAAATTCTTCGATTTTTCAATTTTGCGTTTCTTCTATTTTTTGAAAAGTTACTATTGTTTCAGTTTTTTAATTTTATTTGAAATTTTTCGACTTTTGGTTTTTCAAAATTTCGATTTATTGTTTTCTCGATTTTCCGTTTAATCGATTTTTCGACTTTTCGGTTTTTCAGTTTTTCGATTTTTCGCCATTTGACTTCTCTGTTTCTCGAACCTTCAATTTTTAGATTCTTTATCAACTCCATTTTTCGATATTTCGACGTTCAGATTTCTCGATTTTTCGATTTTTTTATTTCTCAATTTTCAAATTTTTCAATTTTTCAAATTCTCAGTTTTTTCGTTTCTTTTAATTTTCAGTTACTCGATTTTCGAATTTTAAGTTTTTCAATTTTTGGATTTGCATTTTTCGACTTCTCGACTTCTTTTTTTTTGGTTTCTTTATTTTTCGATTTCTCGATTTTTAATGTTTCAACTTTAGAAATATGTATTCGGTTTTCCAAATTCTTCGATTTGTCAATTTTTCGTTTCTTCTATTTTTTGAAAAGTTACTATGGTTTCAGTTTTTTAATTTTATTTTAAATTTTTCGACTTTCGGTTTTTCAAAATTTCGATTTATTGTTTTCTCGATTTTCCGTTTAATCGATTTTTCGACTTTTCGGTTTTTCAGTTTTTCGATTTTTCGGCGTTTGACTTCTCTGTTTCTCGAATTTTCAATTTTTAGATTCTTTATCAACTCCATTTTTCGATATTTCGACGTTCAGATTTCTCGATTTTTCGATTTTTTTATTTCTCAATTTTCAAATTTTTGAATTTTTCAAATTCTCAGTTGTGTTATGTTACATATTTGAATTCTGTGTTTCTTTCATTTTTCAGTTACTAGATTTTCGAATTTTAATTTTTCCAATTTTTGGATTTGCATTTTTTTCTTTTACAGGTTATAGATTTTTAATTTTTCGATTTTTCGACTTTTTGATTTTTTGGTTTCTATATTTTTTCGATAGCCCGAATTGTCGGTTTTTCAATTTTTCGATTTATTATTAACATTTTTTGATTTCTCGATTTTTTCATTTATCGATTTCTCGATTTATCGATTTTTCAATTTTTCGTATTTTTGGTTTTTGAGTTTTTCGATTTTTCGCCCTTGTCGTTTTGATTTTTCGAGTTTTCAACTTTTCGTTTTCCTCGTTTCTCAATTATAATGATTTTTCAATATTTCGGCATTTCTGTTGCTCGATTTTTCGATTTTTCAATTTTTCGATGTTTAATTCTTCTATTTTTCGAAAAGTTACTATTGTCTCAGTTTTTTGATTTGCAATTTTTAGATTTTTCTGTTTTTATTAATTTTAATTTTATTTTAAATTTTCCGAACTTCAATTTTTCGAAATTTTGGTTTACATATTGTTTTCTCGATTTTCCGTTTGATCGATTTTTTGACTTCGATTTTTCGTTATTTTGTTTCTCGATTTTTCGACTTTTCGCTTTTTCAATTTTCCGATTTTTCGGCGTTTGACTTCTCTGTTTCTCGAATTTTCAATTTTTAAATTTTTTGTCAACTCCATTTTTCGATATTTCTATATTTCGACGTTAAGATTTTCCGATTTTTGGACTTTTCGGTTTCTCCATTTTGATTTTTCAATTTTTCGATTTTTCTGTTTCTCAATTTTCCGATTTTTCAACTTTTCGATTTCCTGATTTTTCAATTTTTGGTTAACTCGGTTTCCCGAAAAGGTTAGAAGTCTTGAGGTCATGAAGTAACTAAGTCACTGAGTCGGCAAGTCAAAGACATTCGGAAAAAAAAATTACAATTTCTTGAATTTTTCCAATTTTTGATTTTAAATATTTTCGACTTTTCAAATTCTCAGGTATGTTACATATTCGTTTTTCCATTTCTTTCATATTTTTCAGTTACTCGATTATCGAATTTAAATTTTTTCAAATTTTCGGTTTGCATTTTTTCCTTTTTCATTTTTCGATTTTTTCTTAAATTCGTCTGAATTTTTCAATATTTCGGTTTGCAAATTTTAATTTTTTTCAATTATCGTATTTTCTATTTTTAATTTTTAATTTTTCGATTTTTAAATTTTAAAAACGAAGACGAAAAAACCACGATAAAAACGGCGGAAAAAGAGGTATAAAAAGTGACGAAATAGAGACAAAAATACGACAAAAACCCCAAAAAAGAAGACAAAAAACACAAAAAACGTGACGACAACGCTAACAAAGTGAAAAAAGAACAAAAGGAGAGAGAAAAACGGCGAGAAAAAAGGACCTGAGAAATAGAAGGCGATAAGAAAGGAAAGAAAATGGAAAAAAAAACTGAAAAAAACAGCGACATAAAACAAAAATAACGAGACAAATAAGACCGTGAAAATCACAAAAAGGAGAAAAAATGCCAAAAAAAGACAAATAAAAACGATGGAATAAAGGACGACATTAAGAAAATGGAAAAAAAGAGGATAGAAAAAGACGAAAACCGATATAACTCACAAAAAAGGAGATCAAAGACTAAAAAGGCGATAAAAACGATAAAAGAAGGACAAACAACGGTAAAAAAAGGACAAATAATGAAGACGAAAAAAAGACAACAACCACAAAAAGAAGGTAATAAAAACACCAAAAGAAGACAAAAAGATAAAATTGGGAAGAGTCAAAAAACAGCAACAAAAAGGGACAAAAAAGACGAAAAAATGATAAAAAGGCGCCCAAAAAAACTGGTGGAAACCAAAAAAAAGGGGAAAAAAACCCAAAAACGAGAAAAAATAGGACGACATTAAAAAAGTACAAAAAAAGTCGACGAAAGGTCGGTAAAAAAACGATAAGAGCACAGAAATCAGACAAAACAAGGACAAAATATACAAAAAAACGACAAAAACGCAGCAAAATTGACAAAAAAGGAGACAAATTGAATCAAAAAGGTTGTTAAAAAAAAGAACATCAAAAAATGGGGATGAAAGGAAAAAAAAGAAAAAGACAATAAAAGGGCCCAAAAAGACGGTGAAAACCACAAAAAAGAAGGAAAAAGTGAGCAAAAAGGCGATAAAAATGATCAAAAGAAAAGAACGATAAACAACGGTAAAAAGTGACAGGAAAAAGGGACGAAAAAGGAGGACAAAAATGTACCAAATAAGACGATAACAACCACAAAGAAGAAGATAAGAGAAACCCCAAAAGAGAACAAAAAAAGAAAAGAAAAAAAGCAAAAAAAACCACGAATGAAGCGATAAAAGCGGACAAAAAACATAAAAAAACCTAGAAAAAAGACACCAAAAAAGAGAAACAAAAACAATGGGAAAAAGAATTAAGAAGTATAAAAAAGACGATGAAAGTCTGACCAAAAAGATAAAAAAAAAATGGGGAACAAAGACACAAAAAAAGAAGAAGAAAAAAGACAAAAATTGATAAGAATCACAAGAAAAGAAGGCAAAAGTGACTAAAAAGGCGATAAAAAACGATCAGGAGAATAATAAACAACGACAAAATGAGATAGAAAAAAAGGATAGATAAAAAGGACGAAATAATCAACAAAAAAAAGGACGTTAGAAAAAATGGGGGAAAAAGCGTCAAAAAAAGGAGAAAGAAAAAGAAAAAAACCGATAAAAATCACAAAAAAAGACAGCAAAAGTGAGTAAAAGGGCGATACAAGTGAAAAAAAGTGATAAACAACTGTAAAAAGTGACAATAAAAAAGGACGAAAAGAGAAACAAAAAAGTACCAAAAAAGACGATAATAACCACAAAGAACAAGATAAGAGAAACGCCAAAGGAGAACAAAAAAAAATGGGAAAAAGGAGAAAGGAACGCTCAAAAAGATATACAAAAACGGTGGGAAAAACTAATAAAAAAATACAAAAAACACGACGGAAGTCTGATAAAAAGACGATGAGACCACAAAATTAGACAAAAAAAAAGACAAAAGAGAGGAAAAACGACAAAAAAAGGCGAAAAATGACAAAAAAGGAAAAAT